AGCCAGGAAGCAGACAGGGCAGGGCTAGGAACCCTATTCTGATCCCTGCAACTCCCCAGCTATGCGTGACCTCTCTGTCCTTATCTGAGTGTCCATTTGAAAAGTCATGAATGGACTTTGAGGAGATCACAGCCTGGCATAGAGCATGGCTGCATGAGCCTCAGCACTCACTGGCATCAGTCACCAAAATGCAAGGACCGGACAAGAGCCAGTCCCTACATGTGACTTTGTCCTACTGTTACCAGTTCATGACGGCAGCAAGGCCTCCTATGTGCTTCAGACACAAAGCCTCAGGACTCCTTAGCCTCTCAGAGTCTGGGGGGCCCAGTGGCACAACAATGCTGGGACTCCTCCATGCCTTGACCCCTCAATGAGGCCACACTATGGGGTGAAGCAAGGCTGATGGCTTTATCTGGGAAGGTCATAGGGTGACCACACATAGACCATCCCTGAAAGAACTCTGGGGTCTTCCTGGCTCCCGGACTCAGAGAGGGACTCACTCCTGCTCACAAGGGGCCTCTTCTGAGGCACTCTTTCTCTACCACACCCAGAAAGAAACAGGCCTAGGAGGCCGTTCCCTAGGGAGCTGAAGCACTGCCCATCTCAGCCTCTGCTGGAGTATCCTGTACCAGTACCCTGAGACCCTAGTATCCAGTGAGGTGCACAAGCTTCTGGTGTTCATGGGGTGGAGGCAGGGCAGAAGGGGCACAGCAAGCTGAGGCAAGTACCGTGTGAATGCCCATGGAGGTGAAGCGGTGCTGCAGGTGTCCTGGGTGACGACAGACTGATGGGGGGTGGGACAGGAGGAGACTCCTCAACATCTCCTAGGGCCGCCATCTTCCTGAGACCTGCTGAAGGTGTGTGCACCAGGGACCTGGGGAAAATGAAAACCAAGGCAGAGGAGGAAGTGGAGAGGGAAGGTTGGGGGAGAGGCACCACGCCATCTGCCCGGCAGTCCCAGCTAACACGAGTCTCCTCCACTCCGCAAGGTAAGGATGCCATGAGATAAGGCAGATGAACTGGACTAGGATGTGGATCAGGGCCTGGTATGTTTGTTCACTCAGTGAGAAATCCTTATCAGGACACCACTGGCAGCTCTGCAGAAACTGACCCAAAGCTCTTTTCAGCAAGTGATTCTGAATGCTCGTTCAACCCACCGCCTCACCCGCAGAGAAGAAAACTGAACCACAGCTCTGGGAACCACAGCTGGGGGCCTCTGACCCTGGGGGAGCGTGACGCTGACCCAAGACGGCCAGAAAATGAAGGTTCTGAAAACTCTCGTTTTCTAGAGCGGAAACCCTTCTCCTTCCCCAACACTGCGGAGCGGGAGGCACAGGCGGAGGCCCCCAGGTCCGGCCTGCCCACCCAGCTGACGCTCACGTAAGGGTCAAAGACACCTTTCAACTTGCTTTGCAAGAGACGTCTGAGTCGAGCGCGAGAGGTGGTTTCTGCTTCTCACCGTGACCGGGAGAAAGGACAACAGGTGACGCGCGCCTGGCAAGATGCAGGAGCGCCCGGCCGGGGGACAGGGGCTGCCGGCGCGGCACTGGGGACGGGACATGACCCGAGCCCCAAGGCAGATGGCTGCCCTGGCCCTGGAGCCACGCACGCCCACTGCTCGCGCCTCCGTCCTGCGGGCCGCCGGGCCGGGTCTCGGGCCGCCTCCTTTGCACGCGGGGACGACCGCGGCCCCTTCGGAAGGCGCCCCGCAGAGACCCGAGGGCGCGGGGACGACCAAGGTCGCGGCGAGGGGCGGCCGGCGGGCGGGGCTGCACCGCGGGGACTGGGCGGAAACACGCGGGACGCGACGGGACCAGCGCCCACTCACCTTCCGCGCGGGAGGCGGCGGCGGCCCCGAGGCCGGCCGGAAGCGCCCCGCCCGTCATCCTGCGCCGCCCCGCCCCGCCCCGCGCGCTTCCGGGACGCTCTGGGCGCCGGAGGACCGCGCCTCGGTTGCCCTCCGCCGCGGCCTCAGCGGGGCCCCGCCCCGGGGGACACGGGCGCGGCAGGGCCTTGCCCTCGAAGGCTGACAAGCCATCCGAAAAGCCCGCCCAAGTCCCTTTCGGGGGACTGAGCCCCCCTTGCTGGGAAACAGCCCTTGCCCTCCACTGGTGTCAGTTCCACCGTGCGGTCCGGACGTTCAGAGGGCCGCGGGGCCTGACCTGGTCCCCGCACCCTTGGGCGGGGTCCTGCCCGAGTTCTCCGGGGCTCACCGGTTTCTGCGCCAGCCCCTTGCTGACATCACCAAAAGAGGGTGCTGCTTCTTGTTGGGTTCGAAACCCTGTCCCCTGAAGTGACCCGGGCCTGAGCCCGCGTGCCAGGCTCGCAGGGACCCTCATCCTTGGTGGGTCCAGAAATCCAGGACCCCTTTCCCTCCCCTCCCCAGATACTGCGCTCACGGGGAAGGGAAGAGCAAAGAGGGGTCTGTGCGGCCAGGAGCCCAGTTTGATGTGAACCTGCTGGGCTGGAGCCGGTTCCAGCCCCTGCCCCGCTCTGCGGACTGGGGACACCCTCAAAGGTCCGTGGGGCAGTAATCCTTAGGGGCAAGAATAAGCAAAATTGTGTTCTGCAGGTATTAAACAGATCCCAGGCATTAATGTGGAGTTCAGGTTTTCTCAGCAGGGCAGTAGAGTAGGGGCTGCCTGGGAGTGGGTTTCCTAAGGGTCAGGTGGGGCCGGAGAGGGCTTCTGAACGCACACATCTGATCCTGGTTTTCCCGGATGGAGTTTGTACTCAGGAAACCCTGTTCCGGAATTTCTGCAGTGGGGGCACATGGTTGGGTGTGGACCAAGCTATCTGTAAGCTCTTTGGAGGTTGGGCCAAACCAGAGCACAATAGTTGTTTTGTATTTAACAGAGCTAGAGAACATTTATGCAAGACTCAGGGTTTTTCTCAGATATCCTCAAAGTGATTGTAGTTCTTCTATACTAGACATGGAAAATCAGTAGTTCTGAACCTCATTCAGCTCAACGGCCCTGTTTTGTTTGGATTACAATGTTTCTGTTTTTAAAGAAATAACTGTCAACATTGGGAAACTGGAAGATTATACGAATCATATATATATGTATGTATGTATATGTCCCACAAAGAACTTGAACCTAATTTATAAAAAAACCCCTAAACTCTAGCTGTAAGAAAACAGGCATTTCAACCAGGCGTGATGGGGCATACCTGTAATCCCAGCACCTGGGAGGTTGAGGCAGGAGGCTTGCAAGTTTGAGGTCAGCCTGAGCTACACAGACCCAATCTCAAAAAAACAAAATAAAGCCAAAAAACCCCAAAACAAAACAAAAACAAACAACAAAACCCCCAGGCATTCCAGTGAGAAAATTGTCAAGAAAAAAAAAAAGAGGAAATTGGTAAGATTTAACAAATAAAATCCTGAGTAGACGTTCAAGGTCACTGGTTACAGGAATGCCACCTGGGATCACTCGATGTCACTACACACCACCACGTCAGAAAGGCCACCAAGCACATTAAATACCAATCTTTGTAAGACGTGAACCAAAATGCACGTTGCTAGTGGGAATGCAAAACGGTGCAGCCACGCTGAGAATCGGCTTAGCCATTTCTTCAAACAGTGAATGTGCACTTAGCCTGTAACCCATCATTTGACCTTGGGCATGTGTCCCTGAGAAATGAAAACTAATGTTCACATTTGTTGAGCAATAGCTTTCTTATAAGAAAACAAAACAAAAACCAAAAAAACCAAAAACAGCTTTCTTATGATAGGTCCAACTAATGACATGTTATATAACCAGGACACTAATGCCTGCCTAGCAAGTGAGGCCTTAAATTCAAACTCAGTGCCTACAAAAAAAAAAAGCCTATAACCAACATAAAGACGGACCTCTCTGGACCTTGCATGGACTTTGGGGTGTGTCTTTGCATGTAGTTCTGAGTCCTGGTGCACACACAGGTTCTCCTAACCAGCCCCGCCATCAGGGCGCAGGAAGCCTTCAATGGAGCTGCTGTCATCACAGCTGAGCTACCACAGCAGCAGCTTCTCACCACCAGCGCACTCTGGATGAAGCCTCAGCCTGCCCAGGTGAAGGAGGGGAATCCATGTGATCAGGGTGGAAGAACCCCAAGTAGGTGCAGTGGTAACAGGAAGGGCTTTGGGGCTGGAAGGAATGCAACTGTTACTGATTTAGTAATTTGATGAGATGACTTCTGTGCCGGTGGCAAGTGTGTTCTATTGAAGCTGTTCTGATGTAACGAGCTGCTTTTTCTTAAGCTGGGAATGGGTGTTTGAACCTGGACAATTTGGAGACTCCTGGTCCTGACTCACAAATCAACAGAAGTGTTGTTCACAAGTGAGTTCAAGGTCAGCCTGGGCTACACAGTCAGAACATGTCTCAAAAAACAAAAACAGGAAAAGAGTTGCGCTAGGTTCCTGCAGATGCTGAACTTTAAACTGTGGACGTTTCTCATGCTGTCTGCGTGTCTATGAACCCTCTTTAGTCCCTGACTGATCTCCTGGGTCTAATTGGACACTGCTGATGTAGGGACAACCTGTGTACCGCTGGATGTTTGGCAGATCCTGCGGGGTGACAACCCAAACTGTCCCCAGACACTGCCAAGCATCCTTTTGAAGGAGAGTCACCATTTGGTGACAACTGTCCTAAGTGAAGGATGAGTTTTTTAGGATGCCTCCCAGGCCTTCCTCGGGGTCCTGACTGCAGAAGCAAGCTTGGTATCCCAGGATCTAGGGCCAGAAAGGTGGGACGGGTCTTGTAACTGGAAAGGGGTCCCTCCTATCATACAGTAGATTACTTTTCTTCTGTACATGTCAGGCTCTTGGAAGTTTGTTTAATGGAAGCATCCCAGAGACACTGAGGAGGCAGTGACCAGCCAGGACCCTGGTCCCGTGACTAAGGACCTAAAAGATGGCACCCATGCTATTCCCTGGGGAGGAAGTTGGTGGCCTCCTGGGGGGACTCTTGAGAGTGCCCTCAAACTGCAGAGAGCTCAGTGGAACACAGTACACTGGCTGGAAATATATGTTTACTCTATGAGAAAATAGATCCACAAGCAGCAGGAAAAGGCAACGTCTGGTAATGAAACTGGCAGCAACAGAAGGCAACATGGAGACCAGCACAGCCATCCACGGGGCTTGGGGGTCACATCCAAAGTAAGTCACAGAAGTGGAAAACAAAACAGAATGTATACCCCAATGCCCATGATACTAAGGACCAGATGTCATATAAAAGCTGGTCGCTTTTGGCTAGCTGGAAGTTAAGTTTTTTAGACAATACAAAATTACAGTGGGAATACCAGATTGCACACAATACCTGCCACAACACCGAAGGTCAAGATCATGGCTGTTACAGGAGTGCTCACAACACAGTGGTCATTGCAATTTAGCACACAAGGGCAGGACACACATCCACAAAGAATGTACAGGACGTTTGGACATGCGGGGTATCCCTGCACCAAATCATTCACACAGGTAAGAGGTGTGACCACTAAGATACCAGCCAGGCAGGATGCCACTGGCTTTGAGATGCCAGGAACCCTCTTCAGGCCTGGAGCTCCTTCCCCAAGCAGTATGCAAGGATGGCAGCCTGAGGCCAGAGGTCAGTGAGGAGTCACCACAACAAGCTTGAGTCTCCGGGATTTCAATCCAGGTGAGGACAAGTTTGCTTGTCCTCAGTTGCTTGCTCTGAACATGAAGCTGGAATTTGAGGAGGAATCAGGAGACAGCAAACACCAAACTCCAAGGTACCAGATGCAGGCTGATGCCTGGAGCCGTCTCCTGGCCTACAGAAGAGTGTGGCAGGCACCTAGAGTACATCCCATCCATCTCCAAGTCTCTCCAGAACCACAGAGCACCTGTTCCCTGAGCCAGGGTGCCTGGCCTTTCTCCCCGGGATCCCCTAGACCTGCCTTCCTCTGTAGTGTCTTGGTGTCTCAGCTTACTTGCACAGGGAACGATCACATCTTGGTGTCTAAGCTGGGATGGATACCAGAGGTCACTAGAAATGAAGCCCAGGCACACCATGGGGTCAACATCCAGTCAGAAACTAGGGCAGAGCTGGCCAGGGCCAAGTCTAAATTGCTGGTCAGCACTGCCCCTCCCTGGGCAGAAGAGACATAGGCCCAGACCAGGGCTCCCTTCCTGCTTCTCCTCCTGGCCAGAACGAGGCTGCAGGGACAGACGCTGGTGCAGCTCACAAAGGCTTGCTTGAGACACTTGACGTCAGGTCTGTGGCAGAGGCTCTCTTTGAGTGAGGCCCAGCTGCAGCACAGTCAGTGCCCTTTCTGAAGGACAAGGCCCAGGTGGGCAGTGCCTACTGGACATGGCAGTTGGGGAGATACTGTGTAGGTGGAGCCCAGGGGCTGTGTGGATGCCTTCTGCTCCCAGGGAGTTTCTGGCTTTTGTTGCCTATTTGCCTGCACTGATAACCCGAGACTTGGCTTAAGGGGTCTCAGGTTTCCCCTAGGATACTTCTCAGATGTCTAGAAGGTTCTGAACACCAAGATGGTTTGTAGGACACCCCTCCAGAGAGGCCTTGCTGAAGTAGACCTGGTGTTGGGAGCTCTCCACAGGCCCAGGCTGATTGTGAGCGAGGACTAATGGTCACTGTGAAAAGCTGTACAATGGATCATCTTAGCATTTAAGGGTGGGAATCAAGTACCCTGCAGTTGTTCCGCTGTGTCCATAGGACCTCCTTGAACTCACCCACCTGTAGCATGACTTTCTGGCTGCCAAGCAACTCTGGGGTGACAGCCTTCCTGGGTGCACATCCCAGCAGGCCTTGCTGCTGTGTTCTCTGTGGTAGATGAGCCTCAGCCAAGATGGCTGGAGAAGCCTCTCTGCTCCAACTTTGAACAGGCGTGTGGGGCTGGTTCCTGTTGGTGCTGAGGTTCCTTTGTACACTTTTTCCTCAGGAGCTTCTTGCTTGGGTGGTCTGCTCTATCAGCCTGGAAAGGATGGTCTGAGCAAATGAGAAGAGGCACGGTTACTCCTTGTTCCTGTGCTGAGAGAAAGCAACTATGAAACAAGCAAACAGCCTGGCTCATGTGGAAGTTGGTCTGGCCAGCAACCCTGGCCAAGGGGCCTCAAGAAGAGCAAGGCACCAGATACGGGCAGCACATACTCAGGTGGGAAGCGCCTGCTATTTCTGACAACTTGAGGTTGGGACTGATCAATCACATGCAACTTCACAGAAGAGAACAAGCATCAGAGCTGACACTTTGCCCTCACCCAGCTGGAGGCCCCAGCCTACCTCCTCCTTTTGCTCGTCTCTACCTTAACGTGCTACAACCCACCAGCATACTGCTCAGTTCTGCCGGGTTTGAACTTTACAGTGGTTAAAATCTCATGTCTTCTGGCTCATGTTCTCTGCTCAATGTGCTGTCTGTTAGTGGACGTAGTGGCTACTTTCTTGTCCCTGAACCGTGGATGGATACAGTAGCACGCTGTACTGCACATGTCTCCAAGCACATGTACAAGTCTCTTTGGTGTGAACAAACAAGTAGTTTCTGGGATAGCAGGGAATGCAAACCTTCTATGGGAAATGCCAGGCCACCTATCAGCATTGTTTCACCATGTGACATTCCTACAGCATGGATCAGTTTCTGGGCTCCTCCCCGTATGAAGCAATCACATTTCAACATTCTCTTGGGTAAAAGGCTGTATCTTATTTTAACTTGCATTCCCTGGCTATTAACAACAGAGACTGAGCATCGTTCCATATGTTTACATGCCATTCCTGTTTTCATCTGTGAACTGCCTGTGTCTTTTGCCCATCTTCATGCTTGGATATGTTTTTCAAAAAAACCAGATTCTTCTGAGTTCTTTATATTGGGATCATCAGTCATTTGCTGCAGCAGTCAGTGTAGGTAGCCCGGCGCAATGATAAAGACCCAACAATCTTGACTCAGCAGTTGCCTCTCACTCACCTCATGAAGGGAGGGGAGTAGGTGACTGTGGGACCTTCTGGAGGCCACGCCTGGAGGCACAGTCCACCCCATCTGCTCATATTCAACTGCCCAGAACTCTCTCTAAGGTTCTCAGAGTTGCCAGGAGGCCTGGGTCTGCAGCCTTTGTGTCCGGAAGTTAAACAAAGTGATTCCATGACCCCAAAGCACATATTCTATCACAGCTGGCTCTGGGACCATAGGGATCGGCTGCCTAAATTTTAGCATGATTAAAGTCATCCATCTTTTCCTTTATGATTTATAATTTTATTTTTAAAATTTTTACTGGGGTTTGCTGGGAAAGGACCTACCGAGAAAGCTCTAGCAGAAAGGCTACTTCTTTTCTGTTGTCTATGATTTGGTCCTTATTTTCCAGCTTTGAGTTCACTTTCTGAGTGAGAGGAGGGCTGGAAGCAGAAGGCAATCATCAACAAGGCCAGTTCTCACCTCTGGACACAAGTCTGTGCTCTTTTGCTATGCAGGCTGTGGGCCCTTGGGTGTGTGCACAGTGCACGTGCACACGCTGTCTTGGTTGATCTCTGGGCATGGTCCCTCTTTCTCTCCTGAGTATAGGCATGGATCAGGGCAAGAGATTTGGAAAACACCTTGATGGAGCTTCTTGCACAAGCCAAGCATTCTACAGGAAAGAAGGACATCACCAACAAACCTCAGCGGACAAAAGGAGTGGGCTCACTCAGCCCACTGTCATGGATGGTGGCTCTACTAACAAGTAGCTGCCCAGGGTTTGCATGCTGCCTGTGCTGCTTAGTAGCTGATTTGTACTTACGGAGGTTTGAAATCAGGGCCTACACTGAGCCACTCCACCAGCCCTTTTTTGTGATGGGTTTTCGAGACAGACTCTCACAAACTATTTACCTGGTCTGGCTTTGTATTGCAATTCTCCTGATCTCTCCCTCCTGAGGAGCTAGGATTATAGGTGAGAATCACTGCTGCTGCCCAGTCTGATTTGCACTTTTTAAATATCTCGTTCACGAGTTCCTTTCTTTCCCTGAAATCATAATTATTTCCCTGTTTATGTCTAGAAAGTTTTAGTCTTACCTTCACATTTAAGCCCTCAACCGACCTGAGATTGTTTTCCAAACGGCTCAGGCACAGATTCAGTTTAATCTTTCACACAGATAATGTCTCATAGCCATTTACTGACTGGCCCCACCCTCAGCATGCGGACCAGCCCTCAAGGGCACACCCTCCAGCCCGAGGGCTTGTCCCTACTGTCCCTCCACCGACTCTTTTCCTTCTCCTTTCCACATCCCCTCAGTGTTTGCAATGCTGTGAGGCTCTGGTTTCTGGTAAAGCAGGTTCTCCACACCTCCAACTGTCTTGTTAATCTGCACGCAAGAGCACACACACACACACACACGACATTAGGGACTGAACCGAAGGCCTCCCACGTGCTGGGCAAGCATTTTATTACCACATATATTTTTTAATTAGCTTAGTGTCCACTATAAAACCTGACTGGGATTTTAATTAGACTTATACCAAGTCTAAGTTAAATTGGGGGAGAATATCTTTATAACCATAGGACTTTCTATTAATGATTTATTTCCTTCAAATATATATACTTAATGTCTTTAAGGAAATTTAAAATTTTCTACATAAGTCTTGTACATTTTTGTTGCTAGAATATATTTAAGAACGGTATTTAAAAACAGCATATCAAATTCAGCTTACTTTTTCATTGTGTTAAAACATATTTGTCTTTGTAAATATCTGTAAGTGTGTAGTTCAGAGGCATTAAATATATTCACAATGCTGTGTACCACTTGTGACTCTCTACATCCCAAAGTTCCTCACTGGCACAGTCCCTCTGGGAGGTTATAAACAAGTGCTCTGGTGCCAGGGACTAGGTGGCCACAGACACACAAGCAAAGTGTTTCTCTCAGTTCTGGAAGTTTGATATCAGTGCCTACAGGGCTAGGCTGCAGAAAAGCTGTTTTCTTGTTGCATCCTTGCATGGGAGAAAAAGGCAAGAGCTCATGGCCTCTTAAGAGGGTACCAATCCTGTCATGAAGATCCACTCCATGACCTCATCAGGGTCCCCTTCCTAACACCACACCAGGGGACAGGATCTCTACAGATACATTTTAGGGACACATGCATATCCAGTACATTCATCACCCCAGCATGAACTCTGTCCTCAGCACACAGCTGCCCAATCTCCTAGCCCTGGCACCCTGTTCTCCCTTTCCACAAACTTGCCTGCTCTAGGAGCCACACAAGTGGAACCACACAGCCTTGTCCTTTGCTGTCTGGCTTGGTTCACTAAGTATCATGTTTTCTCTCTTCCTCCAGGAGTCAAAAGTCTGCTACATTTTGTTGATGGGATCCACTACACCCAGCTGCCCATGGTTACTGGGAACCATGCTGTTGTGGACATTCATGTGCAAATCTCTGAGTCATGGCTTCATGTTCTCCCACATATAAACTTCAGCTGACAGCTACATATTTATCTATGTGACAACCTTCTAAACTCCTATCATTTCCATAGCTGGGGACCATTTTCAGAATTCTAGGTAGACAGTAACAGCATCTACTAATCATGACGATTACGTTTTCCACTCTAATCTTACAGGTATCTTCCTTGTCTTGCTGCACTGGATAGAACACCCAGACAATGCTGACTGAAGTGGCAAGAGTAGACACCCTTGTTTTTGGTTTTAAAGGGAACACTACTTAACATTTAACCTTGAGGCACAGGTTTATAGAGGTACAGATATTGTCTTATTTTATACTATCTATTATACTCCCTGTTCATGAAGAGACCCTAATCAATAATGCATGCTGAATTTTAGCCAGTGCATTGTCAAGACAATATAGTGTTCCTCTCTCCTGAAAAGTGTTAATATGATAAATTATGCCAATTTGAAACCAAACACTTCCCTGAAATAAGCCTGAGTTGGTCAAGCTATGTATGGTTTTGTTATGTTCTGCTGAAATTGGTTTGTTACTGTTTTGTTTAGGACTTTGTGTCTGTTTGCGTGACACTGAGCTGTAATTTGCATTTCAAGGTTACATCAGCTCCTTAAAAAAAGGGCTGGGTGTGGTCCTGTTTTGTTTTTGGTCCCTATATGGAGCTGCTGTCTCTTGGACTTCTTTGTATACCGCCTGGACATGGTGTTCTTTGGGGAAGACTGCCAACTATCAATACCATCTCCACAAGGGTTACAAGATTCTTTTTTTTGTGGTACTGGGGTTTGAACTCAGGTCCTACACTGCCTACACCTTGAGCCACTCCACCAGTCCTTTTTGTGATGGGTTTTTTCGAGGTAGGGTCTCACAAACTATTTCCCCAGGCTGGCTTCGAACCACGATCCTCCTGATCTCTGCTTCCTGAGTAGCTAGGCTGACAGACCTGAGCTACCAGCGCCCGGCAGGATTCTATTTCTCTGAGATGCTTTGGTAAATTAGTTTCCTACTAATAATCAGGCTACTTCATCTGAGTTCTCACTTCACTGCCAGTGTTTCCTTCCCTTTTCTTCCTCTGATGTATCTGAACTTAGCCTCTCTTTTCTGCATCAGTTTGCCAGAGGATGTCCATTTTAATCATCCTTTCAGCTTTCTTATTCTCTCAAGGGCATCTATTCCCATTGGTTTCATTGTTCTGTGTACCTTGTGCTTATTCTGCTCTTTTATACTTTTCACTGGCTCCCAGCTCTTCCTCTGCAGTGACAGCACACAGGTGGCCAGCTTGCTGCAGCCTTTGGACCCAGTGCTTCTGGTAAGTAGCATTACCACTGAGCATCAGGTGTGCTAAAAACTTCCTTAGGTTTTTGTCTTTGACTTGGTTATTCAGGTATTCTTTTTCCTGGCATGTGAGTTTCATTTAAACAACAAAACACAAACAACATTAACTTAAAGATCTGATCTTGGTGGCTGCTGGCAGTATGCTATCATGATGGTGATAATGGGAAGAAATAGGAATTGAGTCCATCTGTCTGTGCCAAAAAGATGGGGCAAAAGAAGACAGCAGACTGTTTCTGATTTGGTTGTGCATTTCTCTCCTAACCATGAACCATATAGTTTTAATTCCAAGTACATTAAAGAAGCATATCTTTTGCTGTTTTTGTATGATTTTGTTGAATTCAGCTCCTGTTTTTTTTGTGGAAGAAGCATCCAGGGCTGATGGCTTACAGGATACTCTCCCAAGTTGTAAAGGAATATCTGATCTCGTTAGGAACACTAACACATAGGAATGTTATGAACATCAGTATTAACTAGAACTATACTTAAACCTCCTCTTATCAAGTCATTGACTTCTCGATGACCCTACAGGGTTGAGCACTGTAGCCTCCCCATTTGAAACTTAGGGAAACTGAGGAATGAAGCAGTTCAATGACATGCATGGCTACAGAGCCAGAGGACGAGTTAGTGACTTTTGGCTGAAGGGTCTATGCTCTCCACCAACTACTTCCTCCCCAGAGATTAAGGATATCAGATTAAAATGTGTCTCTTTTCTACAGGTTCATTGGCAATATTAGGAACCTGGGGCTGGGGACGTAGCTCAGTGGTAGTCCCCACTACCACTGTCCTCATTCACACTCAGTAAGTATGAATGAGTTTTATTTCCAGTACTAGAAAAAGTAAAAAAAAGACTAAGAACTTACCTTCCTGCTGCAGGAGGGCTAGGGTGACTGCTGCAGCTGTCTATGTGGCCCCACACAGGCAGGTATTTGGTAGCATGACACTCCACATCTGGGCCCCATCCTAAATGAGGAATGGACATTTTTTTTTTTCACATTTTATGTTTTTATTTCTGATTTTCCACTGGAGGAAAGGACATTTATCACAGCATCATTTACAGTAAACTAAGTCAGAGACGGCCTCTGTAGTCAGGTTAGGGAATGGGTAATCTGCTCTGGCTTTCCTAGTTAACGTGTTATTGTGCACTCACTAAAAGTGATACTTCCTACTGGAAACAGCAGTAAGAAATTATTACAATACTACAATTCAAATAAAAATCAAACCCAAAACAGACATCCCTAAGGAAGTGTGAGTACCTGGGCTGTAGACTCTATGTCCACACTGCCATCCTCCTGCAACATCAAACAGTAGAGGACATGCTCTGAGCGGCTCCAGCCCATTCCTCATTCAGGGCTCTGACTTCTGGGCCAGGCTTTCCTAGCCACCATCTAGTAGTGAAGCACTTTAAGACCTACACAAAGCTTACAAGAACAAGTCTGCAGGCTCTCTGTAGCCTGAACTCTCACTCACCTGCATCAAGGTGTCAGCAAGCCACAGCCTGGGGCTGCTACCTCTTTCCACAACATTGGTTGGCACATAGCCACGTCATACAGTTTGTGCCACCTGCAACTGCTGTTGTGTTGTGTGGTAGAGGTGAGAAAGTATGACAGAGACCGTATGGATACAGCTAGGAACATTTATTATTGGGCTCTTTGCCTCTGATCCGGATTCATGAGGCACTGTACTGGGCCAGCCTGCCCAGTGGCTCGCTAAGTGTACACTCACTTAACATTTAGAGTGAACTGCAGACATGATGACTTGGTGCTCCTGAAAACCTCAGCTCACATCCTTGGTCAGCAGGACATGGGATATGAAGCTGGGGCCGGCGAGGCCACACTGAGCTACCAATGGGGCCCTGCCACCTGGGAGACAGTTACACTCCAGGTTTCGAATTCCCAGGACCACACTGCATGAATGTGTGAACACATGTCTCATACACCAGTTTTGATACCTGTCTTTCCATAATTTCACTTCATCAAATCTCCATGTTTGAGACTATGAGGCTTCCTTTCCTGGGACAGTGCTGTGAAGCCATCCAGCCTAGGTAGGAAACTACCAGGAACACCTGCAAAAGGTGATCCCAGGGATGGAGGCCCCCAACCTGGAATGTTCTGCCCTGTGGAGAGGCAATATGAGCTAAGGTTCGCCTGCAGCTCTGGGAGCTACCCAGGTGGGGCGACAGTCACATTGTAGTCCACAGTGAGAGCAGTGAGTGGATCACAACTCCCAGGAGCCTGGTGGGAGTCTGACTGCAGAGAACATCCTATGGACCAAGACTCGGCCATGGTAGGTGATTTACTGGGCTCTGGTACTATTGTAGATTAGCTGGGCCAGACGCTACAAACTACAGTGGCTTTTGTGTGGTTTTGGGATTCAGGTGTATTTTTCTACTGAAGGCTTTGTGTGGTGTGTGTGAACCCTGAGGAGGCTGTGCTAGTGGCTCAGAAGCACAACCTTTTGGAAAATGGACTCCAGAGAGGCATGAACTGAACAACCTCTCCACAAAGCAACAATGGCAATGCTCCAGACCTCCCCCAGCCAACAGTGGGCTTCTGGGCCAAGCCAGCTAGTGTGGGAGTGGGGAAATAGTATGTTTTGCACCTATTTTGAACGGTTCTGTAAGTAGAACTCTAAGCATGGAGCCTGGATGGGCTCTCAGGAGAAAGGAGGCCGCAGGCCACTCTGGATGGCAGCCACATGTCCCTTGACACTGCAGTGGCCAAGCTGCTTGTTGCTGCCCCTTGGGAAGGGGCCCAACCACACAGAGTTCTGATGTTTCAGCTTTTAGAAGGATCCTACAGTAAAAACCATAGCCTGAGTAAAACATTTCCACTGGAACACAGTCACTTTTGACCATTTGTGGTGGTGCCTGTCCAGCAGTTTCTGTGCCTGAGGGATAAGACCATCTCTGGCTCTGGCCGGGGACCTTTCTTTCAAGGTAGAGTCCCCAAAGACTAAGATCATTATTATTCCTTAAATGTCCAGCAGGTGAAAACACTCTCCCAATAAATAGCTGTGCTACCTCCTGATTGGCAGTCACTTTGCTGTCTTCCTACAGACCAGTCCCAAGAGCACAGGCTCTATCTAGACCACTCCTGGGACACATGGACTTGCCTTGGGGTAGGACAGACATCGGGACAGGCAGGGAAGTGTAACTAACCTGAGTGGAGAGCTGTTGTCGGGGCTGGGTCACCACTGTGTTTGAAGGTCCAGTGCATCAAAACCGCTAACAGCACACTGGGGGCCACCTCACCAGCCAGGCCAGAAATCTCTCACGGTGGCAGCTTTCAAGGGCCTGAGGAGCCTGTGTCTGATGGAATATCCAGTGAGTCAGATTGCCCATCAAGGATGTTGGCTAGGGCAGGAGGGCACACTGTGTGACCCAGTTCCAGAACAGGGCCTGACCTCAGCTCAGAGACTGGTGCTTCAGCCTGAGAAGAGAAAAACTGCGGGATGGCCCGTGAAGTCAGCTGTGTGGGTACAAGCAGGACTTGCTTGCTATTTAGCTCCAGGTCCCTGGCTCCTACCAGGCTGCATGGGGCTGGGCTTGGGGACCCAGAGGGGTAAGTGACCACAGACTAAAGCCCTCAAAAGTGCTGGTGAAATGGCTGAAGTAGAGGGGATAACACAGGCAGAGATGGCAGCGGGAGGTGCTGGCTCACCAGCAATGCCTCTTCTGCTGGGCATTCTTGGCATCCCAAGGCTGTCCCATGGACAGCAGTTAACACATCTGTGTCTCTCTGGCACTGAGTCCTGAGGAGCCTCCATGTTAATCACTGGCTTAGTGCAGTCACTGTAGGACAGAAAGGCCTCTTGTGCACTCACATGTCTGATGGGTGGATTTTCCTGGTGACAGAGGTGGGCAGCCAGAGGCACATCCAATACACTGCACATGAACCCTGGGGCTCCATCTAGTGCTGAATGAGGGAGCCACGGTGAAGCGGCACACTGAGTCCTGCAAATCACTCCTGCTCAGTGCTTCTTCCGTGGGTGACGTTTCCGGTGCCGGATGAGACAAGAGCTGTAGGCAAAGGCTTTCCCACATTCCTCACATTCGTAAGGCTTCTCTCCAGTGTGTGTTTTCTGGTGTTTCAGGAGGTTGGAGCCACAGTTAAAGGCCTTTCCGCACTCCCCGCATTTAAAGGGCTTCTCACCGGTGTGAATTCTCTGGTGCTTAGTGACGTCAGAGCTGTGCCGGAAAGTCTTTCCACACTGGTCACACTTAAAAGGCTTCTCTCCAGTGTGAACTCTCTGATGGCGAATGTGATCTGTCTTGTGCTTAAAGATTCGCCCACATTCGCTGCACTCATAGGGTTTCTTCCTCTGAAAGGGAACAAACACAGGGACCCCCTCAAAGTCATCTTTAAATGAGGCATCAAAGGCATCGAAGAGGTGTGCCTCATCTTCAGGGCTCAAGATGGGCTCCTTGTGGTGCTTGCTGCCTGCTGCAGGTCTCTTGCTTGACTTTTTCCCACCGCATGCATTTTCTCCTTTGAGAGGGGCTTTCAGCACATCTGCCTCCTCCTTTGGGGCCTGGGTCTTCTTTTTCCTGTCTGTAGGCTTTTCCATTGCTGACCTGGGAAGGAGAAAGTACCCTGGAAGCCAGAATGGACTAAGGGCTCATGGCCAAGGAATTCCTGTCTCCTCCATGACTTCACTCCTTCAGAGACAGCTTGCCGTGAATGTCCTGCATGTGTAGCTGAGGCTCGGCATCAAGATGACAACACATGTCCTCTTGCTGCTGGAGAAGATTGCAAACACCAGATCAATCCCACCTTTGAGGGCTACAGCCCACTCCCGGTGTATTTCTACCTGGACACTGAACTCTGGATTCTCCACAGCTCCACCCCATCTGACCCTATTCCAGTCTCCTCAGCTGGGAGAGTGGCACCTCTTACTCAGGAGCTGCCAGAAACCCTCCTGTCAGTGGAGGGGTTCTCCACTGGTGTCCAACAGGCTCCAAGCACACCATGGACTAATGGCCCCTGAATGGTTTTCACTTCTTCACTTCCCCAAATGGGCCCTTTTCCTGCTCTTTCTCACTCCTTCTCCAGTTAGGCTGGTTGGTATGTTCTGGAGCTGTGAGGTACCCATACCCACAGCCTGGTTCTGAGCTGGGTGAGACTAAGGGCTGTGCCTGATGGTCCACGGCAGTCAGCAAACCCCACTGTATCCCCGAAGGTTCCCCTCATACTGGCAAGCACTTGCCCTTGGTACACTCCCCCCCACCCCCAGTCAACTTTAGGTTCCCCAAACATACACACCATTCATTCTGCTTCCAGAGGCCTGCACAGGGCTGGCTCCTTGGCCTACAGAGTTGTGCTCCACCAATCCCTTCTCAGAGCTGCATGTGCCTTCTCCCTTGGCCTGTTCTAGCTCCCTTATTTATATAGCTAAACTTCTCTTGCTTATTTGTTAACTAAAATGTAGATTTTTTTTCTTGTTCCTGAGCTTCTTCCAGTTCTTTATGACAGCTCCCAACAGATGGACATACTTTTTTAAATATTTGTTGAATGACATAAAAGTTAAAACAGTAACTATCAGTTTGGAAGGAAATCTGTTCTAAACATTTAACAGATGCCCATACATTTAACCTTCATTACCATCCCATGGTGTCAGTGGCAGATTTGGTCCTGCAATGGCCAATTTCTCCACTGTCTCCCTGCCTGAGAAGCCCCAGGTAACTGTCACCCTGCTGCTGCTTGCATGGGCTGAATGTTACCTTATGTAACTGTCTGTCTCTTGTAGGGGCTGCTCAGGGAAAAGGCAAGACATATTCCTTGTCCCTGACAGCATCCCTATGTCATCACCAATCTGATTAGTCCACCTTGTGACACAAATGACAAACACGACCCAGGTATCTAGAAGCAGCTGCACAGTCCATGTTTCATGGAGGCATTGCTCAGTGGTAGAACTGCTTGCCTAGCTAGCCCTGAGTTCAATTCTCAGCACTGCAAAAGAAGAGAAAGAAGCCCTCTTGGTCTATTCTTTTCTTGTACTGTTTCTGAGCTTCCTCAACCTGCCTCTCTGAGTGCTAACTAATGGATTATGCTTAAGGCCTTAAAACCTCCCAAACCCTTTAAACTGTGAGTGAAGAAATCCCCATAGGATCAAAGCACCTTTCCCTTCCTTGTAGGTCCCATGAGTGCAGACTGCACCTGGCTCCTGGAACCATTCTTCCAGATGGCATTCTTAGCCTGGAATGAGAGAATGAGCAACATATGGTTAATCTTGCCCACTAAGAGGTCCAGGGTTCTAATGGCCCTCTTATCCCACAGTGTGGTGCTCTGTATAGCAGTATTCCATCTCAGTCAACCATGTTGTAGTTGGAGGCTGGGATCTAGCCTGAGTAGGAAATGGAGGGGAAACACATCACAACTGGCACTCTGAGTGTATAAACACTCTGAGTTCTCTAAGTCAAGAGGAGACGTGAGGCCTTCTTTCTTCTACCCCATGCAAGAAGGTAACGTATAAAATGACTACAGAATTGCTGCCTCACAGGAGTACAGTCTGGCTTTCCTAAATGAAAACATTTAGATAAACTCAATTTGGATTCAGGTTAACATCACCTTCCCCAGGCTCTATCTACCTGGAGGTGGTTCTGGAAGGTGGTAGTTCTCAGCAGCAGGTAGAAGCCAGATCTAAAGGTGAAGGAAGGTCATCTGGGCTGGAGTGGGCAGAGGATGCTCTGCGATCTAGAACAGAGGCTCACAGGCCCAGTCGACTTTGAGACTGGGGTCTAGCTTTAGCTGGAAACAGGTGGAAACCAAGAACCACTACAAAAGAGCAGTCTACTCTCCTACCTCCCAAGGTGGCCAGGGTGTGAAGTCACCTTGGCTCCATGGTAACTCCACTCCATGGGGAGGGGGTCTGTGAACCCAACTGAGCCTGACACCTGCTGGGGTGTGATGTGTCCAGGACTCCACAGCACCGCTTACCCTGTTAGGCACTGTCACTCCACCTGTGGCTTGTTATCGATGTCCCAGTCTCCTTATGAAGGAAGGTTCTTTAGCGCAGGTCTGTCTTTGTAACCCCAGGTCCCCGTCATACCTCCGGCTCAGGGCACATTCTTCATTACAGTCACGTCTGCCCAACTCCAGCTGGCAGGCACAGGGCAGGGCCTGAGTTTGCTCCATCTCTACTGCTGCGCACCTAGAAATAATTGTTAAAAACGGTATACCCATAGCGACCTCCTTCTTGGCTCCCCCATTTCCCAGGCCTGTGGGCGTGAGCACTCAGTTCTGGCCAGAGCAGCTCCTTTTCCCCTCTTCTTGGGACGCGGGGTGCTGGACACCACGGGGAAGGCTCCCTAGGAAGGAAGCCCGTCCACCTCGCGTCTCCCTCCTCCGCCTCCGGAAACCTGGGACCATGGAGACCAGATCGTCAGCGCGCTTTGAGTCCAGAGCCAAGCGGCACCAAGGCCCGCGCCTAAGAGAAGGCAGAGACCGCTCGGACGCCAGCGCCCGGACAGCCCGCCGGGCCCACTCCAGAGGCTCAGCCCTCCTTCTGCCCTCCCTGCCCTCCCCGCCATGCGCATCCCGGAGACGCCGAGCGCGAACCCAGGAGGTACCTGGTGGAGACGAGGGGTGGCGAACGCCTCCACTCCGACGCGCAGACGCCCAGCGGAGCTCTGGTAAAGGCGGGCAGGAGAGGCCGCCCCTCCCAGCCTCAGCCCGCGGCTCCCGCATCTCCCGCGCCAAGGCGCCGCCCCCAGCAAGCCCCGCCCCCTCTCCTGTCGCTCTAGGACTCGTCGTCCAGCTTCTCGGTGGTGGGCGTCGCGCTCCGCCCTAAGCCGGCCCCGCCCACCCCTCCGCGTTCTACAGGAAGACCCGCCTCTTCCGGTGCCGCTCTAGGAGCCGTAGCCCGTGTTCTCGGTGGTGCCTCGAACCGCCTGCTCCCGCAGGGCTTCCACTGGGACAGCTAGCGGCGCCTGTCCCTGGCGGGTCAGTGGCCGCCCGCGCCCCGCCCCTACCGGCCTGCTTTCCCCACGACTTCCAGCCGCCTGCAGTTCCCTTGTAGTTTCCTAGTCGTGATGCCCGTCATCGCGTCCCTTTCCGTCGTCCTTGAGTGCAAGGCCGGGCTCTCGTCCTCTCCAGCGGCCCCACGCGCTCCCCCAGCGTTTTCTGGACCCGCCTCCGTCCTCGCGTTGGAAGCCAACTCCATCCTCCCCTTCAGGACTGCCCCCTCCTTCCCGGGCTTTCACCTCCTGCCCTTGCTCCCTCTTTTCCAGCCCTTCCTATGCTGTCTGGACTTTCAGCCTCTAGAACCGTGAGCTAAGTAAACCTCTTTGAAAAAAATCTTATTTGAGATAGGATTTCACTGTGTAGCCCAGGCTGGCCTCCAGTTCTGGGTCCTACAGGCTCGTCTCACCGCCCCTGGCAAGCCTCGGGCCTTTATTTCAGGCTCAGCCTGCAGAATCGGATTCCCCGCATCCGACCCATCCCTGGGTCTCCTTGGTTTCAATCCTGAGCTGCGAGGAAGCCCTCCTCCGTGGGTGCACAGGGCTGGAGGCCCACGGACTCTCCCCCAGTGCACTGACAGGGCCCCTGTCCAGTAACTAACCCTGGTTGCTCAGGGGAGGCAACCAGTGGAGAGCATGCCTCCCTCCCACCAGGGGCTCCCAGTGTTCAGTGAGGTCCACACGTGCAGCGTAGTCTTCTCTGCAGCTGGACTCCTGAGATTGCTGTCTTTATTTTTTTACGAAAATTTTTAATGAGATAATTGTAGATTCTCATGCAGTTGTACGAGGTAATAGAGATCCATCGTGGTTTTCTCCAAGGAGTGCGATTTTGCCTGACTACAATACAGTGCTAAGGCTCCCACGCCAGAGAAGCCTGCATTTCGGACCCCTGGCAGCCCCTAGTGAATTCTTTCCATTCCTAAAATTGGCACTAGAATGCTAAATAAATGAAATTGTCCAGTGTGCAACCTGTAGATCTTGCCTTTTGTCACTCAGCATCACTCTTTGCAGATTCACTGGGGTGGCTATGTATTTAAGTTGTTCATTCCTTTTTTGTTTCCTTATTCATCCAGACTGGAGTTCGCACTCAGGGCCTCATGCTTGCTAGGCAGGTGCTCCACAATGTGAGCTGCATCCCAGCCCTGGTTCATTTTCTTTCTTATTGTTGAGCTGCTCCAAGGTGTGTGCACCACGGCTTGTTCAAGCATTCACCCACTGAAGGACAGCCACACTGTTGCCAGGTTTTGATTGTCACAAGTTGCTGTGAACACCCACTTATGTATGGGTTTTTGTGTGCCTGTAACCTTCATTTTTCTGGGATCAATGCCCAGGAGTGCAGTTGCTGGCCACAGTGGTTGTGTTTTAGTTTTATAAGAACCAGCCAGGCTGTTTTCCAGAACTGCGGCACCATTTGCATTCCACATCACTGTGGGAATGACCATTTCCTATGTCTGCAGCAGCATTTGGTGTGGCCGCTATTCTTCATTTTGAACAATTGGATAGGTGTGGGGAGACTGCCTCCTAGATGTTTTAATTGACATTTCCTGAGGGCTGGTGATGTTGAATTTTTTTCAAGGGCCTGTGGCATCTACACATCCTACTCAGTGGTGTCTCTTGCCCATCTTCTAACCGGCCAGGTGGAGCTAGGTGGTAGCTGGACTGTAGATGTGATCCCCAGTCCCATGTGTAGCCTGCAAGAGCTCTCCCACTCTGGCTCATCTTTCTGTCCCCCTCGCTGGGTCTTCCGTGGGGGCAATTTCTGTTTTGCAGTGTCCGTCCTCTGTGGACTTCTGCTCCTATTTGTGGGAGCCTCTAGCTTTGCTCACATGGTTCATAACTCCTCTCCAATGAACATTTGAAATGGCAATGTGACTTCTCCCCAGGTATCTCTGCTGCTGAGAAGTCTCCGGCCTTTGAAAGCAGCCTTTGAAACAGCTGGACCCTGAACTACCCTGCTGTCCAGTGGGCAGTACCCTTGTGGTGTGTACCATTTAAGGTTAGGCCAAGGAGGCACTGTCTCCTATGACACTGAGCTAGTGATGGTTCTCTGTCTGGGAAGTTCCTGCTAATGACTGTCCGTGTGGGGGTCTTGGGTGGCCTCACTCTGCTTCTGGTGGCACCAACCTGTCCTGGTCTCAATTGGCTTCTTCAAGCCCCAGTGGTCTCAGGAGGCTCCTAATGACGATTCTCCTTCCTCAGGAATTTCCTGTTCTGGGCACAGTGCCTGTTCCTCAGTGAGTTCTCATAGTTCAGGATGAGGAGCAGGAGGCGCCACCCCAATCTGCTGCTTCCTGTCCTGGGAGGCAGGAAGCCCCGAGGGAACCTCAGAGGAATCAAGTCCCTGGACTCTGTCCCCTTCAGGGGGGCAGGGGCTCTTGTGCAGTGATGGATAAGAGCAGGAACCAGTGACTGCAGGGTGAGTGTGAGCACAAAGGACACACTTGATCTAGGGGGCCATCCTCAGGGTCTGTGTGCCAGACCTGTCCAATGAATCTACAGACGGGACTGGGCACCCTCCTGACTTCCTGGAGGCAGGCCAGGGCACCCCTCACTCCAGCCACTAGGTCACCGTGTGTCCCAGTGAGGAGGGACCACAGTGTTTCACTGGGCTTGCTCCCAGTCAACCACCCAGAGGTTGTTCTGCAGCATGGGACTTTTCCCCTCCTGGAACTACTGGCCCCTGGGACAGACATGTTCCTCTTTGTCACAGTATTTCCAGCTGACTGGGCTCTACCAGAGCCAAGCCACATCTCTCCATACTGGGCCTGGGCCCAGGGGCAAGACTGCAAGTGTCAGCTAAGTGACCAAGTGATAAAGGAGCCATCACAGGGCAACTCACAGTAGCTTACTCAGTCACTCAAGCCTTAGGCCAAATGCCCCACTTTCTTCCAGGTTGGACTGGTGCAAATGGCCAGTGCCACTTGACATACTACAGATCAAACTTGTACTGTCCTGGTGGTCAGCCAGAGGCAAACTGTGTGTGCATGTGCATTTGGGTGAGTGTGTGACATCCTCGTGTTGGTAATGGCTGAGTGTAATTGTGTGGCCTTGCTGTGTGGTGACATCAGCACCCAGGAGCACAAAAGCCAGTCCTTCACCTAATGGTCCTTCTGCCTCCCTGATTTCCTTGCTGCTGATGGCCCAGGGCTCTGGCCAAATGCCAAGAGCTCTCTAATGGGCTGGACTGTGTCCCTAAAAGTCATAGGTCACATTCCAACCCCATGACCTTAGAGTGTGACTGTTTAGAGATATGATTGTTACAGTGGTGACTAAGGTAAAAGGAGGTCATTCAGGTGATCCAATATGACATGTCCAACAAGAAGAGCTCAGGACACAGAGGGACAGCTATGTGAGGACACAGGAAGATGATGCTACACGTTAGGCAAGAGGCCTTCAGAGGAACCAGCCCTGCGGGCACCTTGATCTTGCACTCTAAGCTCCAGCACAACAAAGAGTCCATTTCTGTCATCTATGACACCCCCAACCCACTCGGGCAGGTTCTTTATGACCCCTTCTCTGCCCCACTGGGAGCTCCATGCATTCTGAATCTGGCTTTCCCCACCCAGATGTGGAAGCTCAATCCATCCACATTTTCATCCCTGAAAGGCCTCAAGTCATGTCACAGCTTCGGGTCACATCAGAGGTAGCCAAGTCTCTGGATGGTGCCTATGGAGAGAAGGCTGTGTGCTTTGACCCAAGGGGAACAGGTCCTACAGGGAAGGACATAGCTGCCTCCCAGACTCCCAGAGTTTGCACTTGGACCTACCCCGGCCCTTTCCTAAAGAGCCACATAGGAAGCCCTGAGTTGCCAGAACTGGGAGAGCAGTGCAGGCTGTGCAGGCACAGCGTCCTCTGACTTGGAACCCTCTCAGAGGCTTCTCTGTGGCCTGGAACCCATGCTTCTTCTCAGTCTCAGTCTCAGGACCTGAAAAGGGGAATGGCGATGGAAATGTCTCTGATGTTCAGCTGGTACTGCAGTGGAGACCAGAGAGGGCTATCTCCTCTGAGTCTGCAAGGACTGTGCTCAGGAACACGGGCAGAACTGGTGAGCCCAAATGGTTCTGGAAGGAAAACAGAGGGAAGGCAGAGCCTCTGCTGCACATCAAGTAGCCACAGCACCAACACCTGCCAGAGTTGTTTCAATGGTGCCCTAAGGCCAGGTAGGAAAGGACATGCCCTTCCTGACTACTTGTTAGGTGACCACAGTCACCTGAACAGAAAGGGAGGGGCCAGGGCTTCCTGTACATGATGTGGGGTACATGTGCTTTTCCACAAAGAAGGCCCGTCAATACCCTCCTCTGGTGTCCTGGGGCCAGCTCACTTTTGTGAACTCAGTAGAGACTACCTTGAAGGCCCACCTATGCCTCCATGGAGCTCAGCCTAGCCCAGCCCCTCAACCCTTGTGTTCTGTATCTTTGGGCCTGTGGCAGAGGCAGGAATCTCAACCTACGCAGGTGACCCACATGCCTGGGGGTGGTGGGGTGGGTGGGTGATCGTGTCTGTTTCCAGCCAGCTCATTGGTATGGCCCTGTATA